GCAATTATAGAATTTTAATTGATATACATTGAATTTGAACGACAACTGCATGAATAATACGTTTTTTTCACTTTTGGCCTTGAAGCTTTTTCTACTATCCACATACAACATGTGGTACGCCATGTTAAGATTTGGTATATTTCTAGATCTGTTTGCTATATTTAATTAATTTATTGCATTTCAAGGAATTTTTTGGTATCAGTCAAATTTGAATTGCAAGTGATTCAAATAATAGAATAAAATGAAATAATGAAATAACATTCGTAGAAAAATCAAATATATATTGTTGAGTGAATTAGACATGGTATTTTCAAAGTTCATCGGAACAAATTTAGAAAAACACATTGTGGAGAAGGAAAAGAAGGAAGGAAAATGAAAAAAAACAATGTTTGTCGAGTGCCTCCGTGGTGGTGCACCTACGATCTATAGTGCTGGGCCCGGATGGCGGACAGGTGGTGCGACCCCGCGTGGGAGGAGAATCACAACGCTTGCCGGGAGCGGTGTTTGCTGATGCCGGGTGCACCACACCATCAAGGCAACCTCAACCTCTCAGAATACGTGGCTAGATGGGTACGTGAATTTATTTCTTTATTCTAACGCTCAACTCTGTATAATTTCTAATCATATTGCTTTTTTTTGTAGTTGGCGGCACATGGTGGCGAGCCTTCCTCCCGGTTCATGGCATATGCTTTGGCCCACAAGGGGAAGGCGACGTCCGACGTCGCCTACAACCCGGAGGACCCGCCCTCGGCGTATAGCAACGAGTCCCTCCATAGCCGCCTCGACGGATACACATCGATGGCAAGGGTGGTCCATGGCCCAGAGTACGATCCGAGCGCCCATGACCTTGATGGAGAAGTGGTCATGAGGGCGGGAGGAGGCAAGAAGCATGGCCGGTTCTGGATTGACGATGACACAATCAACACGGCCAATACTCCCACTCTCTCTCAGATTCGAGCACAGAGCACGGGTTCCAGTCTAGCGATACGCCCACGGCCAGACTCTACACTGTTGCAGATGAGCACACTCCAGGTTATTTCTATTTTATTCATCGTTCATTGATTTTTACATACTTTTGCATTGCATTGTAACATTGTGATGAAATATTGTAGGCTCAGCTGGAACAAGAAATGAGGCACCGGGAGGAGCTAGAGGCGAAGATGGAGGCAGAGCGGTAGAGGATGGAGCTACATATGTTTGAATATATGAGGGGTGTTTACGCTGCAATCGGTCAACCTTCGCCATCGATGCCAGTCCCTCCTCCTCAACCTGCTCCAAACACTGTTTCAGGCACTGTGAGTCGCTTTACAACCTTATAATCACTGTTTCTAGTTTATGCAGAATCAATCTTACAAAGATGCCTAGACACTAGAAACTTAGTGACTAATGCTATATGTTTGTTACCAACTAGTACTTAAGCAATCATACTAGAGCACAATGCAATTGAGAAGATATTGCTGATAGTTAAAGGGTTATACTAGTTAGGCAGCAGAGAGACCATACGTGTTGTTCAATCTTGACTCACATATGCAATTTCTTTTCCTTTGTGCAGCATCAATCGGCAGCATCGAATGAGCCTCATGATCCAGCGTGGTCGCGGTGGAACTTGTGGCCTAAGTGATTTTATTTGTATTTGCATTTATGGATAACCTATGACTACTTATGACTATTTGTGGTTGTGAATGAACCTACTTGTGATTCTGAAGTTAATTTGCATTTATTTGCTATTGATATATCTATATGAACTGTCTGTGATGCTTATTGTGAACTATGTGTGATGCCTGTAATGTTTATTTGAGTGGCGTACGTTATACGTGACCGAACCATAAAAACAGGAAATATATGGTCACTTTGCCGAGTGCTAGACTCGGTAAAGAGGCCTTTTGCCGAGTGTCAGGGTTAAAACACTCGCAAAGTGGACACGAGCAAAATTCTATACATTCGGGATTAAAATGGCTTTTTGCCGAGTGTTCATGCAGCTATGACACTCGGCAAAAAGAAGCCAAAATTCTATGCATTCGGGACGTGTTTGCCGAGTGCACGATTCGACACTTTCGGCAAAGGACGAAAGTTTGCCGAGTGCTCGAATTCGACACACACCAAAAAGGAAGAAGCTTTGCCGAGTGCTCGAACTTTGACACACGACAAAGGAAGAAGCTTTGCCGAGTGCTCGAACTTTGACACTTTCGGCAAAGAAGCAAGGTTTGCCGAGTGCCTAGAATTGACACTTTCGGCAAACGCAGCCGTGACCGCCTCCACTCCGTCCACGCTACTTTTTTTTGCCGAAGGTTGGTTTCAGCTCTCGGCAAAGTCTTTGCCGAAAGTGCCCGATAGAAAACACTCGACAAAGAGCCGCCATCGCAATCAGAGATGTCGTGTGCTGTTTGTCGAGTGTTACACTTGGCAAATCCTTTGCCGAGTGTTTTTTGGGCTTCGCCGAGTGCCTGTGGCACACGACAATGCGACTGTTTCCGGTAGTGAAGGATAAGGAGCTATTGTGAAGATCTTAAAAGACACACAATAAGTTCAAGACATCGAGAAGAAGAAGCCTGGACGAGAAGATGCAAACAAACAAAGACAATGCACACACTTGCCCATGTCAGGTTTGTGAAACTTGTCCATGTCTTTCTCAAGTGGTTAAAAGGGACAAGCAACACAAATCCAAACCAAGTTTGCAATTTACATTTGTGTGAAGTGCTAGCATGGAATTCTAAATTCAATTCCATATCCGGTGGCGCCCTCCGAAGATCCGGCAGCGTCTCCTTTCCCTCGTTCGACAGCGGGCATAGCGGGCGTGCAGGCGCGCACCATCCAGTGAGCCTGCACCACTACAGTTGCCCACCAGGTAGATCATGGCCGCACGACGATGCTGTGTTTCAAGTGTTTTTGCACGCTTTTTTAGACATGTTGCAAGCCCATGTTTTAAGTGTTTCAGTTGTTTCAGATGTATGTTTCATTTGTTTCATGTGGATGTTGCAAAAGTAGATTGGGATGTTGCAATAGTTGTACACATATGTTGCAAGTATCTATCCCCAATGTTTCATCTGTTTTTTTACACGTATGTTGCAAGTGTTTCAGACGCATGTCTCAAGTGTTTCATCTGTCTTCTTTTGTATGTTGCAAGTGTTGCATCTGGATGTTTTAAAAGTAGATTGGGATGTTGCACATGTTCCAAATGTTTTATCTGTTTTAGACGTATGTTGCAAATGTTTCTTTTGGATGTTGTAAAAGTAGATTGGGATGTTGCATGGCGCGGCCGGTGGTTGTCGTTGCTACTGGGGCGCAGCTGTGGGTCAACCCACGTGGGTTTCCTTGTGCGGGGCGCGGGGGTGCGGGTACCTACGACGGCTGCAGGCGCGGGGGCTGGGGCGGGACGCGGGATGCGGGATGCGGGGCGGGATACGGACGCAGGAGCAGCACAGGTGTTGGAGCCACCTCTGGACGTGACGTCCCGTCCGGGCGCTAGGCGTTTCGATAAAACAGAAAATTTCCTCAGGTCCAAATTAAGGGGGCCCAACTATTACTGAGGATTTAGGTATTCAGATTTTAGCTGCAGCTAGGGAAAAAAGAGGCTCAGAGCTGTATGCATGTAGCTACTAATTAGCACTACACGATCAAACAGCCTAACACAGACGGTGAGAGTTTGAGACTAGTTACTTGACTTGCTTGGTTGGAGCACTGCAGATTATTATTTGCATCATGGAGTTGAGCGACCGTTGAGAGAAACGCGAGTAGAAGTAGGTGGCCTTTCTGATGGGAGTTGCCCCCACCACAGCTGCCGGCCGTTGAGAAGAAGCACGACGAAACGGACAGAGAACGTGCGAGTGCGGCGGATCATCGCGACCTGATCGGCCAGCTACAACGTGACGCCGTCCCTCTGCGCATCCGCGCTCTGCGCCGTGCCGCGCCACGCGGGACGCGCCCGCCGTGGCGGCCTTCGCGGCAAGGCTGGCGGCCGACAACGCCACGGCGGCCAGGGACAGCATCGAGGCCGTCTTCGTCCTCCGCCGCCGGCGGCGGCGCCACCGCGGCCGCGTGGTCGTGCCTGCAGCTGTACGCGGGCGCGGTGCCGGCGCTGCGGTGGGCGGCGCGGGCCGTGGCCGCGGGGCGGTACCGCGGCGCGCGGGAGGTGCTGCAGGCGGCGCAGTACGTCGCCGCGGGCTGCTTGAGGGCATCGCGGGCGACGCGGCCGCCGTGCTGCCCCGGGAGAACGGCGGCTTCGCCGACGTGGCCATCGTCGCGCACGCCGTCGTCGCCTCCATGTCGACCGGCTGATGATCCGCCCACCACCGCTCGGCTACGCGAGAATGGCGAAGCTCGTGATGTAATAATCAATGCGCTGCTCGTATCGTCTTGCTATGTCTGCAGAACTGGTGTGTTTCCCCTGTGTAAATTCAGTTTGTGTCTCATCGATCTGATGTCCTGAACCTAACAACAAGCAAGCGATGAACAGGACCACCACGTTCCTCGCCGTGGGCGCCTCCGCGCTCTGCTTCTACGGCTGACTCGCGCGACGCGATCCGCGACTTCGTGGAGGTGGCCTTCTGCGCGTCGCGGCTGGGGTCCATGCCGGGCGCGGCCTCCGCGGACCGGCACGGCCACCTCCTGATGGCGGCGGACCTGGCGGCCGCGAGCGGGACGCGCTGGAGGCGTGCGCCATCCTGTACGTGGGCGAGGCGTGCGGCATCCTGTACGGGGCCGCGTCCGTGCCCGCGCTGCGGCTGCTGCCGCTCACTGGCCAGGCCGGGATCGGTTGGGACGCCGCGCTCGCGGGCTCCGCGCCGGCCAAGGCCCGGATGGCCGCCGCCAACCGCGAGTTCGACCAGCTCTCCACCATGGCCACCGCGCTCCTCAACAAGCTCTCCTGAAACTGCTGCTTCTTGTGTCGAATCAGTAGGGCAATCAACCACTGATTTCATGTGTTTTTTTGGGTTGCGTCGTAGCAGTACTGTAGTAAGTAGCCTGTAAAATGTACAATGCCGTTGTTTGGGCTTGCCACCATGGCTGCCTCCACTCCCATGCTATCTGCTGTACTCCTCTTCTTCGTGCCTGTCATCACCGGCGGCTCCGGCTCCGGCTCCGTCGGGGCGAGCACGGCGCTAGACGACGTGTGCGGCGGTATGGGCGGCTACTACGTGACACCGGAGCTCGGCGTGCTGTGCGCGGACCCGTCGTCGCGACGCCGGCCAGGCTCGCGGCGGCCAACGCCACCGCAGCCAGAGACAGCTAGTCTCGAGGCCGCGCGGTCGTGGGCGCAAGGGAGGTGATGCAGGCGGCGCGGACGGCGGCATGGCGCTGCTTCCCTCAGAGAAGGACGGCTTTGGCGGCACGATGGCCACCGACGCGCACGCCGCCCTTGCCCTCCTGCCCAGGGGCGACCGCGATGGACACTACCCTGTGTCTCTCTCGCTTACGTAATATTGGATTCTTCTACACACGACACATGTTGGTTCAGTTCAAATTTCGCCGGCTGTTCTCTACTCCGACACATGTTACTATGTTGGCATAATATAAGTTTGGAGCGCCCCAATTGAGCCTTCCCGCTCGTTTCATTCTCCGGCTCTCCCCTTCTCCCCTGCGTATCGTCTCGAACCGAGCGCATGCTCTCGCCTCGTACTTCTCTCCGTCGCGTCTAGAACCGAGAGCGCTCGAGCGAGCTCGCTCCGCTATGGAGGCGGACGATCAGCGAAGCCGCAACCGCGACCGCACACCGCGATCGCGACTCGCCTCCTCCAGCTCCTCCCCGTCCTCAGCTCTGACCCGCGAGCGCGAGGATCGGGATAGCGGTCACGAGGCGGACTCCTCATCGGAGTCGCAACGGTCCCAGGAGGAGTTGTCGAGAATGAGCTTGCTTCTACAACAAAGCAGCGACAGCGAGAGCTTCACCAGGGATCAGCGCAACCTCGTCGATCTCTCTGTCGCAGTGCTTCGCAAGGACATCGTACGGGCGAAGAGTAAGTAGCCTCTCCCTCCCCTTTCCTGCTCGAATCGCTGGAGATGGGAATTGTGATAAACTGGGAATGGGAATTGTGATAGACTGATTGTGGAATTTGGTGCAGAGTTAGCAAAAAGGCTGGATGATATCGATGTGGACCAAGTGTGGGGAGAGCTGGCATTACTCGACGCATCGAAGAACCCCGAGGCCCAAAAGCTTGCCGGACCGCTTCACCACGCCGCCCTGAGCGGCTACAAGGCTATGTGCAAGCTCATCATCACACAATGCAAATGTGACGTCGATGCTGCCACGATTGATGGTAATTGCCTATCAATTTGCATCGCCCATTTGTGCGCCTATTGACTTTTGATTCATTTGTGCGCCTATTTTGATTTCGCCTGCGATTGTTTTTTTTCCCCTGCGATTGTCGGAGGAGATAGAGTTGGATTTGAGGTCCGAGGCCATCTATTTAGTTTTGGGCTTGGGCTTGGGCTCAATTAGGGCTATAAAATGTTGTGTGTGTGCCACGAGACAAAGGGGAGAGAGAGGTATAGCGGCGGCGCGTGGTGGGCGACTACCGAGTGGTCTGCGGCCAGACGCGATGCGCGGGGAAGGCGAGGGAAGGCGGCGCGGCAGCGGTCCTGGCCGCCCAGACGGCATGCGCGGGGAAGGCGAGGAAAGGCGGCGCGGCAGCGGTCGTGGCCGCGCGGGCCGCTCGCGTGGCGAGCAGCCAATCAGGGGCGAAGGTGGGTGGGGCTGAGGTTTGTTTAGAAGGGGGTGGGGCTGAGGTTTGTTTAGAAAGGGGTAGGGCTGAGGCTTTTAGTGCCAATTAGGCTCGATTTATTTGGTCAGAGTGAGAAGCATCGATCATTCTTAATCAATATATACTGTTTTTATGCTTTTGCTAGGTACGACACCCCTAATGTTTGCATTAAATCATGAGGGAAATGAAGCCATTGTCAAATATCTTATCAACAATCATGCTGATCCGAACAAAGCAGACAATTCTGGAATTACTCCACTCCACATGGCGGCAACTCAAGGTTTTTTCTGCCCTTGCATATGTCTGTTATGTAATTTTTAGGTGTTCTTTGAATTTTTTTAGTTTTAACCCGGCTTATCTATGTTACTTTCACACAGTGGGTTCATTCTTTATGTATCTTTTCAGATAGTATTACAGATGCCCAGGTGCTTAAACCAAACATTTTGTTTTTCGTTTGAATCAGATACATAAGCAGAATTGAACAATACACTCACACTTTGTCATGGCTAAAAAAGGCATAATCCCATTTTGATTGGATCAACTATCATTACCTGAACCTAGACACTAAGCTAGCTTTGGTAGAGAAACAAAGTCTGGATCCTGCATTGAAGCCCATTGCTTGGGAGGTTGGTTGGAATACGGCCAGTCAAATAACCCTGTGCTTGTTACTTAGTAAAAATTGATTATTCAGCCACCTTCTGATTAGTCACCTACCTGTATTATTTAGGCTCAATGTTGCAAAAAGGAGCCTGTGTAGAAGGTCAAAAGGACACCTGATGTGTATTAACCATCCCAGGGCTCATACTGCAATGCAAAATCACCTCTGTGCTTCATATCATTTTAAATTTAGCTTATAGGCCTATGGAAATGCAAAAACGATCCATTCTTAAAATATTGAGCTCTTGGTGTTGACTATCCTTTTGTTATGAAACACATGTTATTAATAGGTCCTAAAAGTCAATTTGATGTGATTTTTTCCATATATTTTTTCCAGGCTACTATGAAATTGCAGAGTACTTGTTGTCAAAAGGAGCTAATGTTGACCCCTTATGTCAAGATGGTGAATCACCGCTATTCTGTGCTGCTATCCAGGGAAATGAAAGAATAGTGACACTCCTTTTGAAGCATAACGCAGATGTAATATCTTCTTGCTTTCCTGCTCTCCTTTGCTCTTTTCCGACAGTATTATATGTGTTGCTCTTTTTTGACAATATTATATGTGTTGAGTTCAATACACTACCTATGAGAACCGAGCAAACAATTGTTTATGGCTGAACTCAGATTGGTTGCCTTTGTTTTTGTTTCCTTTAGGCTCTTACCATAGTCCCAACACTGCACGGTTTAATACTAATTTTGTTTGCTTGACTGGACCGAGCTGGAACTTTTGTTTTATTGACCAGTTCTATCGAATGCCTTCTCACTTTTGTTCTATTTCTTCTATCATGCGGCAGCATTTATTTGTTCTCTGGACTTTCATGGGGAACATTGTTGATGAAAGCTGGAATTTTCATCTTAAAAATGTTTAGGCTTAGTTTTATATTCAGTGGTACAGTAAAAAAGAGAGATGATGGGTCATTGTGGTTTCCCATTTGCATCTTTAGTTTTATTTTGTAGGTAAAGTTGAATAAACTGATCAGGTGCTGCCATGTGTAACTTTTCTATCTTCTTCTAGTGACTTGCATATTACACTGCTTGAACCCTTCTTTTTCGACAGTATCGTTATTCTTCTCTTTTTCCCTAGTATAACAGAGTGTCAAAGAAAATGTTAACACCGCTGCTCGCGTCCCTCCATGGTTCTTCATTGAGTTGCTTGGAGATACTAATTGAGGTGCAGTATTTTGTCACTTTAGAGATGCTGCTTGCCCCAAACTATTTCTTGCCAATGGGGTTCAACAAATTTGATTGTGCGATTCCTGAGATGAACACAATTGCAGGCTGGTGCTGATGTGAATGGGACTGGTTGTTCTGTACCTCCAGTAGCGCTAGCTGCTTATAAAGGCTTAGATCGCTGCATCCAGTGTTTGTTGAGAAACGGTGCTAATCCCAATGTACCTGATGAAGTGAGTTCTACCTTGCTATTTCTCAATTTCAGTATTAGTTGTCAGCTTCTGGGCTTTATGCCTATTTGAATTGTACATAATCTTCCAGGACAAATGTTCCATACCACACTAGGATCTTTAGAATTTTTAGGGTAGTTATTATGACTCTGTTTGATACTCCAACAAATTTAGGGTAATTAGCAAAGGTCCTTAAATGAGGCAATTTGTTGTTTGAGATTTAATGTTGTGATTTCAAAAATACATTTGTGCTTACTAGCCTGTTTAGGTCTTGATATCCGGATATTGATTGTTGGAACTTGAAAGAATTGTGATACCTGACACTGATGGAATTATTTCCTAACTAGAAGTTTAGGATAAAATGCCCACATTAGGATTTTATTCTGACGAACTTATCTTGGGAATGTTCCATAGCTTGCTAGTACTGAAGTTAACATGATGACTCCCTGCCACCGCGCACGCGGGGGGGGGCTTCAGTTTTTTTTTTTAAATATACTTGTTCACTCTTTTCACATGCCCCAGTGAGCAACGGGAGTTTGAATCCACTTGCACAGTCTGTATACATAAGTACAACTGTTAATTTGCGCTGCATAATTACATGTACTTCTTGGGATTACAATGTCTTTGCCACGTTCTTTGCAACTAATTTGCAGGGCCTAACTTTGTTATTCCTTAAGCTCTCATGTGTTTATTTCTAAAGTTCATTTTTGTGGCTTCTTATAACAGGATAATAACATCCCAGTCCAAATTGCTGCGGTCAAAGGATGGGAGAGATGCGTGGAGATTCTTCTCCCTCACGCACCCCATTTGCCACAATATGAAGGCCTGAGCATTTCTGAAATAGTCCAGTGGGAAAGAACTGTGAGTTCAGACCCACAATTTGGAACAAAATATTTCCATTTTTCCTTTGTAGCATGATGGTTGGATTGATGTTGGTAGCTTTTATGAATACTGCAATGCACTTTGCACCACTGATTTGGAATATGGTTTCTATTTGACTTTTGGGTTGTACATGTACTGTAGGAGCGCTTCCGCAGAAAGCAGTAGGGCTATTGAACAGGGGATGCTGCGTACTGGAGGAAAGAACGCGATATTGCATTGAGATTCTACACAGAAGTAAATTATTGCATTCTCCAAATGATATTTAAGTTACATTTATAGATGCCAATATAGCTCTTCAGCCTCTGTATCACTGGATGATTGCAGGCAGCTCAGGTTGGTCACCAGGATCCAGCCTTGTATGCAAAGAGGAGTCTTTGTCATCTACATCTGCATGCTCCGGCAAAATTTATTGAGGAAGCAATTAACTACATGAATATGGTGCAGCCGAATTTATCGACACTTGACCCTGAATCTGATGCTAGGAAATTGGTGCTGGTGAGTTGGTACTAGCAATTAACGGCGACACAATGTGTCATATTCACTATTGATATGTTGACGGTTCCTTTTTTAGGATTTTGCTAGAACCTGGAAAGAACCGGGGTCTGCTTCGAGGCTGGGTTCTGGAAGTAGCCCGACCGACAAAACTGACAAAACATCAAGGTTTGTAGCCTCTGCTATATATAGTTGCTTTTGTTCTGATTTGGAGAATTTGTCGGATAATTTGAGGTTGGTTGCCTTTTTCTTTGATCCAGTGGGGAGCATCAGTGAAGTGGTAGCATGCTGGGCGTCCACGGAACCTGTGTGGGGTTGATAAGTGCTACCGTTAGGAGATCAGCACATATGTTAGGAGTAAGGGGTCCAGACTTGGCATCCTCTGTTTTTGGAGGCGAAACGTACTGAATTCAGTTCTCTTCATCTCACACTTTTCGGCTCTGTTTTTTGAGGTCGGCTTTGCATTCAAGTAGAAACAGGTGTAGCTCGATCGGCTGCTAGAGGATTCTGTAACCCTAGCGCTTGCAAATATGTGTGGGTATGTCTGAGATTTTCTGGCATATGCCGGTAACTGTTTGGTGCAACATAAGGTGGATATTCCTCTGAGCTCTGATGCTATAGACAGAGTAACGACATTCGAGCTTGTGAGTACTCGCGAATTGGAGTTGCTGTGCCGCTGCCATGACTCTGGCGAGACTGGTCTGCCACTTGTGCCCCTCCAACCCAATCCCTGTAGTCCCATCCTGATCATGTTGGCTCTATTCGCTTTGCTGAAAAGCCATAGCTGAAAGTACCGTTCGCTAATTTGTTATGAGAGAAAAACATTGTTCGTCAAATGAGAGAAAAACATTATTCGTTTGCTGAAATAATACGGCTCATAAGACAAGCGAACATGACCATTGTTTGGCTGTGGCTGTAGCTGATATGACTAGTACGATTCGGTTTGTGCTATAGATTCGGTTTTCGTCACAACATTCTGTTTTATTAGCTAAACAAAACAGTTGTATAAAGTAATAAATGATATTTTTAAAACATGAAAAATATCTTTAAGCCTTTTTTATAAAAATCGAATAGATGAATTTTATAAGATACACCCAAATAAAATATTTGGAGTTCATGAAATTATCTTGGGACCCTTTAAAAAATTAGATTTAGTTCTAGGAAAATGGGGAAAATATATAGAAAATTTCAATGTCATTCAAATCAATGTCCAAACATATTTTGAAAACATTTCACAACAAAAATATAAGATGAAACTAGCATGAATGCAACTAGAATCACTATGTTGCATTCATGCTAGTTGTATCTCATGTTTTTTGTTGCGAAAAGTTTTCAAAATGTGTTTAGACATCGATTATAATGTTTTGGGAAATTTCTAGATATTTCCCCTTTTATAGAGTTCAATCCAATTCTTTGAAGCTTCCATTGATAATTTCAGGAGCTTAAAATATTTTATTTAGATGTCTCTTGTCCTAATATATATCTAGGATTTTTCTTGGACTTTTTAGAGGCTTAGACACTTCTGTGGTTTATTTTAAAAAAGTGTTTACTGGATTTGTTTTTGAATGAACTAAAAAAGAACGACGGACTCAAAACCACTTTTAAGTTTTAACTGTCGTCGAAAGTAATTGTCAAATAGGCTCCACTCTTTTTTCTTAATTTAACAGACAAAATTGTATTGAAACAATAAAAAGGAGTTTAACGGTTGAGGTCACGCACGTGGGTCCCAGTCCCAGCGGCGTCATCTCCTCCCTGAGACACGTGGCACTTGTAACTGAACATGCTTCCATGTTTAGGAGTCACTGGAAGAACAGATAGCTGATGTGAGGTCTAAAGGAAAAGAAGCGTTTGCAAAGGGGGACTACTTTGATGCAGCCTACTTCTATATGCTGGCAAATGCTTGAACCAATGCTATACTTGTTGGAATAATACAAGTGCAAGATAGGTACTTAGTTCTGAAATATCAAGCTCTGGACACAAGAAGGGCCTTCATTTTTTCTTGTAGTCACTAGGCACTGCTAAAAAAGGCTCTATGACGCTGTATTGCTGATTGTTACTGCAGGCAATGACTAAAAACCCACACAATGCCACCTTATTCGCCAATCGGAGCCTATATATGCTGGCTGCGGCTGAGAGAAGGTGAGAGGACTCTGTCAGATGCTTGACGTTGCAAAATATTGCTCCCACGTTGGGCAAAGGCATGGTACCGTGAGGGCATGGCTCTCAGCTTCCTCAAGGTATATCGTACATCAAATTTAGCCTTGAATCTAGCTAGTTTCTGCTCCTGAATCATCACTCTCGTGGTTGGTATTCTCCATACATTATATAGGAGCACAAAGGAGCAGTGGATGCTTTTGAGGAGGCGCTAAAGCTCGATCCCACCAACCATGACATCAAGAAAGCATTGAGGCACTGCTCTTGTTTCCTTCTATGCTACTTTCACCTATTGCCCTAATTGAGTCTATTGTGCATTGGACCGGAGCATGAACATCCAAATCGTACTTCCTCCCCGTAGTGCCTTTACTTAGATCTGTGCATGACATTCTTAGGTCTCTGATTCCTCAAACTTGCAGGGAGGCCGTGGAGTCTATGAAGAATGCTGCTTGCCCTAGAGAATAGAACCCTCAAGTTGCTGCATATGTTCGATCAAACTACTAATCAATCGTCTATAATATCTATGGGGATTAGCATCAGCCCACTGCTGCTAAGATTATTTTAAGCTATTCTTGACTCTTGTTCTTTTGTGAAATATCATTTGCTGCCTGGAGTGAACTGGTGCTGTTGGGTCCCTTCTAAGGAAATTTGAGTTGTTTTTCTTTGTAAAGTACTATCACCTATTTGGGTAGCACACTTGTGGACCAACCGATGACTTGGCCAAGGGGGATTCACTCGATGAATTTTCTGTCAGTTGGAAATCATCTTGTGAACAAGCTGGTACAACCTTGTATTTTGGCCAAGCTTCTGACCAAGAGGCTTGCATAGCTATTGGACCTGAATTGTTATTGTGCTCCCTGATCATTTTATGTTTAGGAACCAAATGGGGTAATTCCATTGTCCATACAGCATGTTCGCTTGGTCGTAAATGATCGTAAATTTTCAGTCAGAACAGTATTTTTCTCTCACACCAAACCAGCCAGCAGTAAATAATCCACGATCGTTTACGGCCTGCCGAACAGACTGATGCTATGTGGATTTGTTTTGTTATTCCCTGAGCTACCGGATCCAAATGGGATGTGCCTAATGCCACAGGTATGTCGTGTTTGGTTGATGACTGGTACCAGCAGGTGGGACGTTACCTGCTTCTATCAGTCGTTCGTCTTTCACTTCAGCAAGCCCTAAGAACAAGTACACTATTGCTCAATGTGTGTGTTGCAGGTCCGATCAATGTGTATGTGTGCTGGTTCGCTTGAAATGATTGAGCAAGATTATTTTAAGGCCATGGAACACTCAAATTTTATAACCACAGGATTAAGATCTAATGATCATGATTAATTCAAAGATAGAACATATAAAATATTGTACCATGACTGATAAGTTCAAGCGAACAACGCTGTCACGATGGATCACTGATAGCATTTGCTCGACGAGACGACGACAACGACGGCGATCGACAGCAGCACCAGAAAAATTAGAGAGTTTCAGATGTTGAAATCGAACTTCATTACCAGATAGCAACGAAATTAGAGAGTTTCAGATGTTCGCAACATCCACCGCATACATGCCACAAAACTTCCACACTTCTGAACAGAGTTCAGAAAGCTGGACAAATTTCAGCCTACCCCCCACCAGAAAAACGACCCGCTATTGAACTTTAACAGAAATCTGGTGCATATATAAAAGTTACCATACTTAAGTAGGCACATCAAGATTTTTTTAAGGATAAGCATAAGCAGATCACAACATTATGTTCATAGTAATTACACCAGTCAATAAGCACACGCCCGGTGATCATAAACCAACTGACGGTGTCAAGGACTAAATAAGATACACCTAGTAGCCATAGCTAGTCCTCCTCATCATCCTGATGAACTCCTCAAAGTCTATCTCACCATCACCTGTGACAAACCAGAAATCAAGATAAATTACAGCAGTAACTTAAAAAATGAGGGTTTTTCTAATTTGCATAAACAAAGAAAGATGGCAGAGCACAACTAACCATTTCTGTCCGTCTTTTGCACCATGCCTAATTTGCTGCATTATCCAGAAGATGAGTAGTGTTATTTCAAGGAACTTTCCACGGCACATGGATGTGGTTCTATACTTGCATGGGCTCAAACACAGAAAAAGAAAATATGAAATAATATTGTGGCTCTTATTTTCGCGAGGGGCATAATATATCATGGACAGAATGAACCGATGAACTCATCTCATCAACGAGCTAACTTCTTAAGAAGTCACCTATCTTTTAGTGTCCCTATCTTTCATATTTCTTAACTGTTCATGCATACAAAGAGATAGCCGTTCAAGCAAACTAGGGATGTGACATGTTCTACTCTTTGGTTTACTACTACTCAACACCAGATGACAAGAACTACGTTAATTAGGCACCATTAACGTTATATATACCATGCATGAGAATTAATATTACTCCATTAAATATCACTTACCTGATTAGTTACCCTTTTCTTTATACACGTCATCTTTTACTATTAATAGTGATGTCATCAAGAACTAGGGCCGTTGATCCATGCTAGTTATATAAATTAATCAAGATTCCTTTACTAAATTTATCTAGAGCATGCACATCCATACACTGGTGGGGTGCTGCACGTCTGCACCTTGCTAGAATAGTCATCTTATCTACGAGACGCTAGTCCTTTTGCATGAATAGACTTGACTCAACTAGCTGGTAGTAGTCCTAGCCGGTACGTGTTTTAAGGCCATTCGTACCTTTGCGGATCACGTATTCATGTTCAGTCTCACTCGTTCACGTGCGACCGTGCCTGCCAGCCTGACTACCCGCCGCCCGCTGGCGACTCGCAGAGCGGCAGAGTCGCAGTCGTATGCAGAGGAAAGAGAATGAACAGCTGAGTGAGGGTCCAGCCTGGCCTTGCCGCGCCATTCTCCGTGGGCGCGGCAGCGCCAAAGTCAAAGATCGGTGGCGCGGCAAACCCCGCCACGCCACCGGTTAGCGCCACGGGTCATCGCCACGTCATCCCTCTTGCCGCGCCAACATGCATGGCGCGCACGAGCGTTCGCCGCGCCAAAAGTGTTAGTTTTGAAAAAAAAATTAAACAGTGTTAGATTTAAAATTAGTTTAAAAAAGTGTTAAAAAATTCCTGCTCGCCAGCTGCGCTCGCAAGGAGGCACGACTAAGCGCGCCCATGAACGCCGAGCCGGTGGCCTCCGAACCATGGGAGCAGTAGCTCGAGGTCCGTGATGCCCCCGCCGCCGCCTGCATCTAACGCCGGTGCATGTTGGGACGAACAAGCGGCGGTGGAGAGAGGGGGCACAGGTCTGTCCATCAACGCAGCAGCCGTTGGCGCACCGCGCACCCAAGCAGGAGGCTCTGAAGGAAGAACGCCATTTTGGTAGGTGGCGCGCGCTGCATCAAGGCGGCGACAGCTTCGGCGTCTCGACGAGAAGGGTGCCACGTATGGCATCAGCTACTCGAACACCAAAGAGCAGGCAGCACCAGGGACGTCCGGCAAGTCACTCGTGCCGGACTGCTGAAACGGGACGAGCGACGCGGACGGGGATGCGCCACCGGGGTGTAGGCTCCGGCCACCCCGTATCTACCTGGAGGCAGAAGCAGCCCTCGATGTCTCGGACTCCGGCTAGCTGCGCCGTCGTACTGCACCACGAGGATAAGAGCCAACGGAGGTCTGTGTCAAGCGATGCCGGCGAAGCGACGCACGGAAGGAGGCAACCTGCTGCTCCATCCCAGGAAGTCTTCCTCGACCACGGCCACGCGAAGTGCTGCTGCTCCACCACAGCCACGAGAAGTACTTCAGGGAGGAGAAGGACAGATCAGAGGGAGACAACATCGCTAGGAGGCGCTGGTCGTGCAGGCGAGATACGCGCGCGGCGGAGATGGAGATCAGGACGGCCATGCCGAGAAGCGCGCAAAGCAGCGAGGAGCGCAGCCCTCTTCATCTACTCGATCCATCGGCGAGCAACGCTGCGCCGGCTATTGACGATGGCAGCGCTGGTTCGAGATGATGCTGGTAGGTGTAGCGGCGCGGCACAGGAGGCAGACGGCGGTGAACCCATAGATGGCCGCCGACAGAGACGTGAGGCATCTGACGCGGCGGCGTCCGAGGCGGAGCTCCACTCGGGATTTGAGACCCTCGCCGTGATGCGGCCAGAGCATTCCACTGGGGTCTGAGAGTTTCGCCTCAACCGGCGCGGCGCAGTGCAGTAGCGCTGAGCCCGGCGGCCATTGCGGAGATCCCGCGCGCCACGTTGCTCCCGGACCACGTCTTCTCCGCGCATTCCGTGGTGTTGTCCGCCATGCGCCCACACTTAAGCGCAATCATCGAGCTTGGTGGGCCCGAGGACCCGCTGGCTGCCACCTCCACCAGGAGCGTCGACCGCGGAGGGGCTCTGCCGCACGGTCCTAGAGATGCAGGTGGCGCTCACAGACATTGAGCTGTCCCGCCATGGAGGGGCTCCGCCAGCATCTGTTTTGGACTGAGTAGACATGCAGCCTGTTCGTTTGCTCGTAAACGATTGTAAATTTTCAGCCAAAAATAGTGTTTTTCTCTTACACCAAGCCAACCAACAGTAAATAATCCACGATACGGCCTCCCGAACGTGCTGATGGCTGCGGCCACGTGTGCGAAACTGATATTCCAAAAGCGGTTTGGACCTTCGGTGATACATTTAACAAGTTTAGGCATCTGAAAATCCGTACGGACTATTTGAGAACGTGAGATAAGTTTAAGGACCCTAACGAATTTTACTCTATTGTTTATAAAGGCAACGCCTTATTACAACGCAGGCGAGAGAGACAGAGGTAGTGTCCATCGTCGTCGATCAGTAGCCCTTGGACAGGGTGGCGAGAACGGCGTGCGCGACGGTGACCATCGTGGCGAAGCCGTCGTTCTCCGAGGGCAGCGTCACGGCGCCGTCCGCCATGCCGTCGCACCCGGCAGGCACGTACTGCGCCGCCAGCATCACCTCCCTCGCGCCGGGGAGCCGCCCCGCGGCCGCGGACCGCGCCGCCCACTGCAGCGCCGGCACGACGCCGCCGTAGAGCCGCAGGCACGACCGCAAGGCCGCCGCCGCGGCCCCCGCGGTGGCAGCGGCATAGGACGAGAGCGCGGCCTCGACGCTGTCCCTGGCCGCGGTGGCGTTGGCCGCCGCGAGCCTGGCCGCGATCGCCGCCACCGCGGGCGTGTCGCGCGCGGCGCGGCACGGCGACGACGGGTCCGGGCACAGCGCGGACACGCAGAGCTCCGGCGTCACGTAGTAGCCGCCCAGGCCGCCGCACACTTCGTCCAGCGCCGTGCTCGCCGCGACGGCGACGGAGCCGCCGGTGATGACGGCCACGAAGAGGACGAGGAAAGCAGAGATCGTGGGAGTTGAGCCTGAGGCAGCCATGGTAGTGGTCTGTGTGTCTGCGAGTCTTTGTGTGTGATGGATGGATGCTTTATCAACCGGCCGGCCAAGAAGATCTGGTTTCATTTGGTATTGATCTAGAATCAATAGATCGCAATTTGTCTGGGTCGGAGTGACATATATATAGCAAATGATTTTGGAGGTGGATCGCACGGGATGCCATGCGTTTGGTGTGCATGCATGCATTGTTGCTCTCCGTTCGATCTGCAGCCTCTTCTAATTTCTTCCTGCCATCGACTTTCCCTTGCTAGAGTGTTGTAGGAGCATCTGCTAGTGGAATTGAGCAATTCAGGACTTCACAATTGGCAAGTGTTATTAAGTAGTAATATCTGACATTGGCAAGTGTTGATGCACAATTGGCAGGTGTTGACTGAAAATGGAATCAAGTACTAGTAATTGTTAAAGCTTGCCAGTTGTGAATTAAAATGAAGAGATTTGGTGGAAAGAGTTTCCAAGTCGGTTCAAGATTTGTTGACCTCAAGATACTTGATATCCAGATTATTTCGATAGAACATTTGGGGTGCCTCACAAATTGTGAAGTATGCGGAGCGGAAGAAGAGTCGATCAAGCACGCCCTGCTGGACTGCACAGTTGCTAAATATTTCTGGGAAGAAGTGAAATTGTTGACAGGAGTTAAGGTACCACCACTACATCCTGTTACCTGGGCATGTGACCTGATTGACCCGGACGTTATATCGGGGAAGGATGCAGCTGTAATCCTATGCGGATCATGGTCGCTATGGATGGCGCGGAACAGGAGGCGCCACGGTGAAAGAACAGTGCCGGTTAAAATCGCAGTTCACTTGCAGTTGACACAGCTTTTGACTTATGGCTGGCGTATGCACAAAGCCGGGGTGTGAGAAAATTGCACCTGGAGACTGACTGCCAGGCTTTAGTGAATCTATGGATGAACCGCACCAACCAGAAGTCAGAGATTGCACCATTGTTGCAGCAAAACTGAGGCCTTGTTTAGTTGGCGAATTTTTTTAAAAAATGGTACTATAGCACTTTCGTTGTTATTTAGCAATTAGTATCTAATCATAGTCTAATTAGGCTTAAAAGATTCGTCTCGTGAATTTCGTCTAAACTGTGTAATTAGTTTTATTTTTTATTTATATTTAATGCTTCATGCATACGTTTAAAAATTTGATGCGACAGATAATTTTAAAAAAATTTGTAAAATTTTGGAAACTGAGCCGGAGCTTCGAGGATTTTCGTTTGAGCTTCAGTAGTCGAGTCTGTAATAAAGTAGCCCATGAATGTGCTCGTAGGGTGTCTCCTGATAACCAGGTGGTGGAGTGGCTTATAACCCCACCAGTTTTACGGGACATCATAATTGCTGATTGTGATCCTGTTTATGTTAAATAAATAGATGAAGCTCCGGTTTCCAAAAAAAAAAAAAAACCAGTAGCCTCTCAAGCCGTCCGTACTCCAAAGGTGCAGTCTGTGTCGCCTATCTGAAGACCCTGATCAAGTTGATTGGGCTCTGGAAAAGAAAAATCTACAACGTGTTCAACCAAATCAGTATAGTACGGAGCAACGACATCTCCGTGTGCAAATCTCAACTTCCTCGTATGTATAATAAACAAAATAAAAAGATCTTGTGGCCGGTCCTTGTGAACAGTATTCAATCTGCAGAGCAACTGAAGAAGAGGAACAGAGCAGACAGGATGGGTTAGTTATGTTTCAATCTAGCAAGGTTTTGTTTTTTTCTTTTTGAAATTCAGAGGTTATATATAGGCTTCATGGACATTCGGCACGAAAATGGCGATCGAGAAGTTTTTGGGCAAGCCAGCTGACAGTGACATGTGGAAAACCTTTTGTTTTTGAGAAGATCTGGGAAGAGCTGCTGAACGGCAAGCAGCAACTGGAGTTCACACTTCACAAATCACAGCTATACATATGCCAGCATCACTTTAACAACGGCATTGTAGATTGTTCAGGCTACTTACTGCAACAAAGAAAACACAGGAAATCAGTGGTTCATTGCAGTACTGATTCGACACAAGAAGCAGCAGCTTTCGCATCACCGTCACCGCAGCGCGCATGCCACGCCCACGCAGGGACGGCGGCACGACTGGCATGGCGCGCCGCCGGAGCCCGGAAGCCCGGAGTGCCTGGCCTAGCTAGGAGAGCTTGTTGAGGAGCGCGGTGGCCATGGTCGAGAGCTGGTCGAACTCGCGGTTGGCGGCGGCCATCCGTGCCTTGGCCGTCGCGGAGCCCTCGAGGGCGGCGTCGCACCCGATCCCGGCCTGGCCCGTGAGCGGCAGCAGCGCGCGCGCGGCGGCCCAGGCGCGCGCCGCCGCGTAGCCGCGCATGAGCCGCAGCGCGGGCACCGACGCGGCCCCGTACAGGATGCCGCACGCCTCCAGCGCGTCCCGCGCGTCCGGGTCCCCGCCCCCGCCGTCGCCCTCGCGCCGCGCCATCCCCGCCGCGGCGTCACGCGCCGAGGCCCCGCTCGCGGCCGCCAGGTCCGCCGCCATCAGGAGGTGGCCGTGCCGGTCCGCGGAGGCGGCGCCCGGAACGGACCCTAGCCGCGACGCGCAGAAGGCCACGTCCACGAAGTCGCGGATCGCGTCGCACGAGTCTGCCACCGTGTCCGCCGATGCTGCCGCCGCCGCGCCGCTGTAGAAGCAGGAGAAGCAGAGCGCGGCGGTGGCCACGGCGAGGAGCGTGGCGGTGGTCCTGCCCATTGCTTTTGCTTGTTGGTGGGCGTTTGCTGTGCGACCTCCAAGCGTTGTTTGTGGGTGGGTGTTTATCAATGCACGCACAGTGAGGTTGGAGGGTGGGGTAGGTGAGCTAATCAATGCACGCACGCGACGCCTGCGCGCATCATCGGAGCTGTGTTCTCGTCGCAATAACGGTGGCCGTTTGGAAGTTGAACTAACAATGAATGCATCATCGTCTTCCTCAGGCCTCAGCTGTTCTGGTATCTTAGAATTTACCTTCGTCGTGAGATCTACTGGCGGTAAAAACACATTCATGAGGATTCAGCAAAATATAGGACTGACTGACTGAAGCGGACCATGCTGCATGGTGCATGCTTATAACGTATTAGCAGTGCATTATTGCATGGCAATGCAAGTATGTTACTAGTTTTTACTGTACTTCCTTTCCATGCCAAATTTCGAACAAAGACGATCGTTCACGATTGTGTCTCCGGATGATCCATCCACTGCTTGGTCAAGTGCAGGAGATCAGATCGATGAAGCGCAAACTGAATTTACACAGAGAAAACCCAAACACCATGAGTTGTGCGGTTAATGAATCGATGGACACGGCACAGCGGATTGATTATTACAACGAGCTTTGTTCTACAGTGCGTGCTAGCTTAACTACGGGCGGCGTGGCGAAGCCGAGCGGTGGTGGGTGGGTGGCTCAGTCGGCGGACATGGAGGCGACGACGGCGTGCGCGACGAAGGCCATGTCGGCGAACCCGTCGTTCTCGCGGGGCAGCGCGTCGCCCGCGATGCCCTCGCAGCCCGCGGCGACGTACTGCGCCGCCTGCAGCACCTCCCGCGCGCCGCGGTACCGCCCCGCGGCCACGGCCCGCGCCGCCCACCGCAGCGCCGGCACCGCGCCCGCGTACAGCTGCAGGCACGACCGCGCGGCCGCCGCGGTGGCGGAGGCGGTGGCGGAGGAGCTGGACGACGACGTGAAGAAGACGGCCTCGATGCTGTCCCTGGCCGCCGTGGCATTGTCGGCCGCCAGCCTTGCCGCGAGCGCCGCCACGGCGGGCGCGTCCCGCGCGGCGCGGCACGGCGCGGAGGCGTCGGCGCAGAGCGCGGAGAAGCAGAGGGACGGCGTCACGTAGTAGCTGCCCAGCCTCCCGCACACCTGGTCCAGCGCTGGGGCAGGGGCCGACGTCGAAGTCGTCGAAGCCTCGCCTGCGCCGGCGCCGGCCGAGGCGAGGAAGAGTAGGAGGAGGAGGAGGACGACCGGAGAGCAGGAGGACGACCCGGCCGCCATTGCCGGGCTGCTCGTCTCCGGTTTGGTGTTGTACTACTAACAGCTAGCTAGCGCAGGCACAGCCGCACAGTCACAGTCACAGGGTCCGGATGTTCTAGGAGAGTGATGGTGCCGCCGTGCATGCATTTAGTGCGGGAGCATGCATCGCGCGGGGCCGCGAGCGCTGGTTTCTGGTTCTGGCTGGTCAGTCATGATGATCCGCCGCACTCGCACGTTCCCTGTCCGTTCCGTTCCGTGCTTCTTCTTCTCAACGGCCGGCTGCTGTGGTGGGGGCAGAGATAAAATCGGATCGGATACGAACGGGCCCATGTTTGCTTAAGCTTATTTAGATCTACTTTTTAGCTATGAAATATTATTTTCTTCTCACAATATTTCAGCATAAACTAAATTTTAGCATCAGTGAACAGGGTGATCACTGATATTTTATATTTATTTTCATATTTCAGTCCAGATTCGGATTCGAATACGGATAGTATCAACCATGTCGGATAGGATACGATTGGACATCGACATAATAAATATACGATTTTAATATTCGGATACGAATACGGTGTTAGATGTTGAATATCCAGACTTGAATATGGACAGATCTGAATCACTCTAAACGAACCTGGTCTCGGATATAGTTAGAAAATATCCGTACCCTAAGCCTCCTGTTTTTTTGGGAGGAAATTCCTTGTGTGTTATTAAAAAATATCGCAATGTTTTGTATGTCCCTGGAAAAGTTCAGTGGTCTTCAGCGTCACTGTTTCAATTTTTTTGTGCCCTCCATGCCACTGCCGTCAGTTTGGGCTAACGTCGTTAAACTGCAGGTTTGAAAAGTCGAAAATACCATTAAGTTTAAATATATCATTAATTTTTTGAGCATCTTAACGACTTCAAATTAAAAAACTCAAAACTAGAAAGTTGTAGATCTCGTCGAGATCTATAATTTTCATATAAAAACTATTTTCATTTAATTCCGTAAAAAAAAGATATGAATTTTCTAAGATATATTAATCATATCAAATAATATTTTTTTACCGAATTAAATGAAAATAATTTTTATATGAAAATTATAGATCTCGACGAGATCTACAACTTTCTAGTTTTGAGTTTTTTTTTCATTTGAAGTCGTTAAGATGCTAAAAAAAATTAATGACATATTTAGATTTAAGGGTATTTTCGACTTTTCACGTCTGCAGTTTAGCGGCGTTAGTGCCAAAACTGTCGGCAGTGGCATAGAGGACACAAAAAAATTGAAGCAGTGGCGCTGAAGACCACTGAACTTTTCTAGAGGCATACAGGGCATTCGATGTGATAGAAAATCTTGAAAAGAGGGGAACTAAACATGCCCCTAGAAAAGCTGACTGGTTCAGACCCACACGTCCAAAATTAGTTGTATGTGTGGTTAAATTTACCAGAGTGATATCTGGGCATCCGTCACTTGATTTTAGTGCAGCAGACTACTATGTAGCTATAGTCCCCCACAGTAGAAACGCCAGTCCATCGTGACCACAGAGGATCCTGAGCGGGGATCCCATGAGGGGACCAGCCTGTATGCACGGCGCTATTCAAAAGCAGCAGAGGGTGTCAGTAGCCCTTATCGTATATTTGTTTCTTTATTAGTGGTAGCTGAATACATGTTATTGGATTATACTCCCTTCAGTTTTCTAAAGCAAGTCGTTTTGGACATTGACATGGTCTTTAAGAAACGACTTTGACTACAACTTTTTGCTATAAAATATTTATAAAATATAGTCAATATATACTTTTATGAAACTACATTTCGAGATGAATCTACTTATATCACTTTCATATTTTCAAACTCAACCCAAAAGAAGTTATTTATAGTCAAAGTTTAAAATGTTTGACTTAAAACAACCTCAAAACGACTTGTTTTAGAGAACCGGAGGGAGTATTTTACTATTTTTATTTGGGGTTCTGTGTTCAATTAGTATAAATTAATTATTATTAAATAAGAATAGTCATAAATACTTGAACAGTTATCTGTTTTTTTTTTCACCTCTCCCTTTCTTAACCGATATACAAGAGCAGGGATTGCCTATAATCAGGGGTTGGCTACTAAGTGGTTTACCATTAATAGAACCTTGCTGCAAACTCTTGGCTTGTGAACAAGTGACTTCTTTCCTTCCATAGACTACACTACAGACTATCAAGCACTAGAAAACAACAGGGCCAGTTACGTACGAGTCAGGCAATTGTCTACCCTCACGAAGCAATGAGAAAAGGTTGGTGCTGATGTTTGAGTTTCTGTACGTTTTATTTGGTTCCACTTTGAAAATTTTCAATTTGGCTTCTATAGAAACAATCTTACTATTTTTTTGTTTTTTATTTAATTTTGTTTTATTATTTGAATATTTTTGGTTCATTTGATTTGGATCCGATGGTCATAACAATCATACGTTACATGTATCAAAAAACACCTGATTTTATTTGCCGCCTCGATCGAGTGTTTTAGGCCCTACAGACACTCGGGTGACACCTACGCCTGAATCACCCGAGCGCTGGGTAGACAGGCCCATTCTAAATTTAGGCCTTGTTTAGTTGGTGAATGTTTTTGGAAAATTGTATTGTAGCATTTTCGTTGTTATTTGGTAATTAGTGTTTAATCATAATCTAATTAGGCTTAAAAGATTCGTCTCGTGAATTTCGTCTAAACTGTGTAATTAGTTTTATTTTTTATTTATATTTAATGTTTCATGCATGCGTCTAAAGATTCGATGTGACGGAGAATCTTGAAAAATTTTATAAAATTTTGGAAACTAAACAGTCACTTAGTTGCTTCATCCGCTCTTCGTCATCATTTTGAAAAGAAAGAAAAAGATCTCCGCTATGTTCTTGAGAAGCCGGAACCGTTCTGAAAGGAGAAACACTCCCAAACGCAGACATAGCGCCAGCTCCGTTCATGAGATCACACGGCACAGTAGGACTTGCACCGATGGGGTCATGGGGATTCCCCATTGGGGAAGTAAATGGAAGTGCCCCTGCATCTGTTTCTGCCACACAGCGCTGTGCCACGGGCGTACAGTCAGACCGAGCCACCAAGGGGCGGCACCAACCAACCACCACACGCAGAAGCAGTGACTGTTCATGAATGGATCGGATCGACAAAAAAAAAAAAAAAGACTTCGTTCACGTGCTCTTAAACCCGCTTGATCTAGTTTTTTTTATCCTAACAGTGTTTTTCTCTCACAAATTCCTCCGAATTCCTCCAAACCATCCAAATTCCTCCATTAACCATACCAGCCGAACACCCCAATGCGATGCAGAGTCTCGGCTGGTTTAATAGTGTCATGTGAGGAAGAATAAGCTGAAACTGGTTAGAAAGTAGTCACCTATACAAAACTATAAAATAACAATAAAATGTGTATTTTGATACCAAACTTATTTGAGACAGAATGTGTGACATTATATCTTCTATAACTTTTTTTCAAAAAAAAATCTGACTTGTTCTAATAAATCTGAGAAAGTATATATTAGCGAAAAAGTGTAACTAACACCCAGGCCGCTCTGGACCTTGGACCCTACTTCTTCGGCGGCCCATTAGGCCCGGGTTGCCAGCCGGCCGCCGGGAAATGAGCCATCCCCCGATCGGAGTCAATCTTGTCCTTTTCGACTGCACGCAACACAACCAAAACCAAACACGAACTTTCCCAGCGTCGCGTCTCGCAGATGTGTGGGCCAGGTCAGGACAAAACACCGACAGCTATAACATACTACT